CTATTTTGGGACTCTTTAGGACCTAGCCCACGCGAGCTAGAATCCGCTTGACGTTAAATAGAAATAAATAAATAAATAAATAAATAAATAAACTTCTACTACTTTAGTACTCTTATGTAACGAATACTCAAACTGGCTAACTAAAATTGGCTGGGTGTTCGCTGGTTGGTATGCTATGATAAGAAGAAGACTATCGGGTTGTTCACTTGGAAGTGAACTCGTTACTTGTATCAAAGATGTCAAACTAATATGATAAGATTGATAACTAAGTTGAGCACGAAGCTGCTATCTAATGGCAGACGTGCCAGTCTTATATAGATCCTTTCATGTTCGTGGATCGTACTGGATCATGCAGATCTACGCTCCTGGATCGTGGATCATTACGATCCAAAAGATCCAGGTCACGTGACCTTTCCAATCAATGAAAATCCCTGGATCGCTTAGCTAGTCTAAGGATCCCTTTCTGCTATAAGAAACCTGGGTGTGCCTTTCGAGGGTTGCGCCTCTTATTATGACAAGTATCACGCGAGCACGTGATTCGTGACATCTTAGTTAGATATAATATAAGACAACATTCAGTACTGTTCGATTACCCTACTTCGAGCTATATTCAATATCCCCTCTTATACTAACGCCCTCTCCCGCGATTGACTCTTTTCTACACTTCGAGGACTAGTTTCCATCGTTCGTATAACCTTGTCTACCGACTTCTACCTATATTCCCTCTAGGAACTGCGTTAGGAAATACCTAATACCCGGCGGGCCGATCCAAGGTATAAAACCTTCCTTAACGTGTACTTTTCTTAATACTAACAGTAGCTATTAAACCTTAAATATTCTACTAAAGACATAGTTCTTCATTTATTTATCTACGCGTTTATTTATTTGTAGGTAAGAGAGGAAGAGAGAGGGGGAAGGGAAAGGAAGGGGGGTAAGGAGGTAATAGGGGTATAATAGAAGTAGAGACTTATAGGATAGTAATGTAAGAAAGTACTTATAGGTAGGGAGGGACAGATAAAAACAACTAAGTACTTATAGGTAGTTTTAAGAGGTAAAGGGAGGGAGAAAGGCTCTATAATATAGATAGATAGCTCGCGGAACAACTCGGGTTATACTTAAACTTTCTTAGAAGTATAATAGTCTCTAGAGTACCCTCTATCCTTAGGATCCTACTTTTTTATACTTAATTAAATTAGTGTTAGGTATCTCCTAACACTGTCCTTACTTTTAACTACCTGATTAGGACAGTGTCAGGAATTTCTATATAGTATTAGGAAATATCTAACACCGAGTTCCCAGAGGGATTTTGTGCTAACTAGACAACTGAGACCTACAAGCCTCTTGGCCACACACATGTATCCACAAATATAGTAGTATGAATTAAAGCTCGAGTACTACACTCCTGACCCTGTAATCTTACGCTTACAGATTTAAGAGAGACCCCCTCCTAGGATATTCGCTTAGCATGGAACGGCCGGCATGGCGAACAAGGGACAAAAATATTTCCTATCCGTTCTCAAGTCTTCGAAATTATCTGATGGTCAGCACGCTATACAGGCTTTGTCTGAGAGGTGGCTTGTCGTTGTAATACTTGAATTACACCAACCTCTCCCCCCTGTATCTGGACTGGAAGTACTTATATAGTACGTTACCGATCACTTGACGATTTATAACTCTCAAAAGATTCCTGGAATATAATCTAGGTGTCTCTATATTCCTACCTGATTTCAAAGGTTAGAAGGACGAAAATTTCCGTAAGTTAAATGTCGAGTCACTTCTAACCTATATACGCTACTTCGACGTAAGCGGGTTACTATACTGGAGGGTATTAAAATTCAGCAAGGTTACTTTTCTTTACTACCATCCATTGTTTAATAATATAAATTTCAAGAGACCACTCCTTTCGATCGGAAAGAATAGCTAGCTAGATATCCCTACTCCCCCTACCCCCCGCGCCAATCTTAGTAGAAAGAAGGCCTTACGAAACGTTATGCTTCTATAGTATCCTCGCCAGACATTGCCATTCTTAGTTAGACCCGACGAGTAAAGAACACTAGTAATACTAGATTACTTATAAATTTTCTTTCGCTTTATAGCAAAATTTAGTTGTATTGATTCACAGTAGACTTGAGAAATGGGAGCAAAAAATATGAGCAAAGTTCTAGTACCTAACCTTGGTATTTTCAAGGAAGATTTGCTTGTAAGACCAAAACCCTTGTTTCTTATATCTGACGACTAATAGACAGTACTCTTCAAGGAACGCTAGACAGCTGAATCTCTTCTATACTTGCTACAAATCCTTCTACCCGCCCCCCATTTTCTGCTTTTCTGGATGTGTCTAATTTCTTTGTTAGACTCTTTAAACCCCTAAAACCCTGCCAACTTCTCATTCACAGGATAGCTTTGATTTGCTTCGCGAACTGAGTATCTTTCGCTGTCCGCCCATATATCACAATATAGACGGCCGCTACTGTTCAAGAGGTTAACAGAAACTGACTGAATATAATAACCTCCTTGAAGGAATAGCTGGGAATACACCTCCTTCTATGTTATAGCATAAGCACTTTCGGCTCCCCTGGCCCTCGCTTACAACCTCTAGCATATTTCGATTACTTCCGGCCGACAGACAGGCCATGTAATCGATGCACTACGCCTGCACATTGCGAGCCTTTCTCTCTAAACCTACTTTAATCTTAACATTGCCGCTCTCGTATTCTATCATTCTGACATTATTGTTATACAAATTCGGTTGAATCGCCCTTACTATTCTTTTTTTTTGTCTTCGGTAATTTCTTGATCCCATATTTCACTTCAAAAAACGAGCCATTTCTGCCCTTGCGAATAGCTTCAATTTGCACCACAAACTAGCACCAACCACGTCACACAAAGACTACCTTTATCTATCAATTCTCGAAGGGGAGCGAGTAGATATGAGCCTCCTTCTATTATGAGACTGTCCCTTCCCTGTTATCTAGGGCTATTTTCAGACACTACTTCACCCCCCCCCCCCCCCCCCCCC